CATAAGCATGAATTCAAAATGCCTGACGGTGTTGTGACAGCTGTTTTAGGAATGTAATCCGGGGCTACGGTTGTGGTAGTATGCACGTACGAGATCGAGATTGGATAAAGTTTGTGCTGCATAAGGTACTTGCGAAGGTACACGGGAAACCCCACACGCTGAATATCTATGGAAAATGCTCCTTGGTATCTTAAATGCACGGATCTTGGTCAGATGCAAAAGCTCCTTTTGGATGTGGGCAACTGACGCAAGATTACTTTTATCTTAAGTGAAGGCGTTCCTCATATGTGTGGTAGGAGGAAACTTCCAAATTCTTTCATGCCACACAATGACGCCTTAGGTTTTGCCTATGATCTGGCAACGTACGTGTCAGCTCTTCCGTATCTATGACAAATCGCTATAATTTCCTCCCGTATCTGACCTACTGATGCTAGGTCGCTGTTGGGATTGGATTTAGGCCATGAGTTTTTGTCACAGGACATTTATTTTCGTTACTCTGTGATTGAGGCAGTGATGCCTGGATTCGTTAGGATTATCTATGTGTGAGTTACTAAATGTCTAGCGGTAGGCACAACTGCGGTATCCAAGACTATAAATTTCGACTTAAATTTAGCACAGTGGTCTTCAGCTGAGCTAACCGTTGTCAGATAGAGATGCTGAACTTGCATTTATTTTTGGAGTGAAGATTACCGTGTCGAAACCCGCCTGATTACTGGATGCGCTTGACCCATGAAGCTTAAGGATAGTGCAGACGGGCACCCGCTTGGACTGATACGTTCAAAAAAACTGAGGAAGCCGTCATGATCATGGTTACAAGTGAACTCTCAAACCAGGCCTCATGCGTACTAGAAAGATCCGTCGCGAATCAGTCTCAACGTGCAAGCTAGAGAAGAATACACTGAGTTTCGTGCCTACGGCTACTACGACACCATATTATCATACTGCTCTCTTGATGGCTTGACCATGTTTTCCTTCAGGGGGCGCCTTCTTTTCGCGACGCGAAACAAGTGAGTTTACTTTAATTGCAGCGAAAGAGAGATATTTTCCGGAAAAAGCTAAAGAACCGAAAGACTGAAGCCAGCCGCTGCCATATTACTTATAACCATGGCACATGCATATAACCAAATACATACATAAGCACCAATGAGTGCCGTGCTAATGATCATAAGTTCTAAGCACGTTTTTGTGGCTTTCACCACGGATTAGTAATCAACCTGTGTACTAGCTTGCCTATATGAGCACTGAAATTTTATGACTATGGGTTTATTACCAGTGTAACGGTGATACTACAGATCGGGAGATACGCGAGTAGTATGTGTTGTTCGTGGAATTTCGCTTTGCGTCTATTGAAAAGGCAAGATCTGTTGCGGAGCTTGTGGAGTCGCTTTGTAACAATTGCTCGGATTTGAGCGAGGAATGATTGGAGTCAATGAATTTCCAGGAAAGTTCAAGAAGACGCGTTCAGGAGAAGAGGGATGTCCAGTTGTTATAAATAAGATGCGAATGAGAGATTTGCTTCCCTGTCCAGTGGTCTGTAACCGGTCAGTTGGTATTTTCTGATAAATGACTCCGCAGCGCCGGCCGACCGCCAGGAGGCCATGAGGCGGTTCAAACGACCAGGATGGCACCTGGATCTGACCCGACCGTGCCGGCTTGCAGCAACTGTTACAAAGCAAATTCTGCAACAAATTTCCCCTTTTCAAGAGATACAAAGCGAAATTCCACGAACAACACATACGACTCGCGTGCCTCCCCGTCATTAGCATCACCGTTACACCGGTATTTGCCCGCGATAGAAAAAACGTTGAGTCGACTTAGTTTCTTCTTTTCTCATTTCAAAGACCAACACTAGCGGCGTTTTTTCTCGTTCAGATTTTTTGGTGACTTTTAAAATTGGACTACTGAAAAATGTATTATCAACGAGAACCAATTGAAATAAATACTCCGACTAGATTTAACAGCTACAAACTTCTCGACACTATATACTCGTTCCACGATACTTAGCTTCATTCCCCCACAAAAGAACCCAAATAGGAGAACGAAGCGCAACACACACTTAAAAACACAAATCTGACAGGCGATGTGAAACAGGCGAATCGATCATTATTCACAAACATCATGCTTCACTACTTCTGAATTGTGAGTAATACGGTCAGTAACTTCCGGCTTCATACACCGGGTATCACACTAATCGAAATTGAGTTTTGCTGTGCCATGAGCCAGCCCACGAAAGCCTAACTTCATAGTTAGCTGAATTGTTATCTTCCATTAACGAACGATAACATCCGCCGTACAGCCATCGCGCATTATACCTGAGTATAGGGCAAAACATTTGCTCATTTTATTGACTGGCACCACGATGCCCGGATAAGAATGGGACTTTAGAAACCACTTTTGACTTTAATCGAATGTTGTTGATTTGTATCCCTATCGAAAACGAACGTCTGAGGGGCAAGAAAACAGCTAACATTCGTTATTCGCTATGGTACGTTCAAACAGATTTGTCATTTTTTGCCTCTAGCACGTTTCTGCCCAAGTTTTTCTATATATGTTCTCCTCCGGTAACAATATCCAAGTTACTATGCATGAGGCACTGACAACACTGTTTACGTCAAAAGACTGAAGCCGATATGCCGCGGTTTTGATGACAGTTTTCACCTTCAGAGCGACACAATGTTTCCATTTCCAGTGAAACCGCACTTGCTACTTCCAACAAGTCTGAATGTACTTTCGTTTTTGCACGGTATTATTTTACACCATTGAGTGTCCTATGTCAAAATCAGGATTAATGCTCAAAACTAATGTCAGCGGTGATTGCGGTCCTGCAGGAATTTCTCGGATTATGTACTGTTCCAGACAGTGCAGATTTGCCCTCGACTCAAGGATTCCCTAATACAGGTACTCTGATCTTCAGTGGTGCTGAGTCGGGAGTGACCCACCTAAATTTGATCAGTTTGTTTCCCCCTCCCCCAGAGGACTATGAAGGAGTGCTTTGAGAGGAAAATTCGATTCCTTTAACTCAGGACTTCTCTCAGAGATGCGAATCTTGGTTTGTGTACATGGTAGAGTGGACCGCATGACATCAAGAACGATAGAAACATAACTCATTTTATAACGGCAAATAGGTAGACATTGGGTTCATGTGCTATTTATATGTATTCGCTGCAGTCCGTTTCGCGTTTGGACTTGTTTGTAGCAGTTTTGTATGGCCACATTCAAAATTGTCTGGTTAATTCGTTTGCATGTGTTTGTGTACTCACAACTTTCTTACCTAGGACCTGTCCTCGTTTGGTGGGTCAGTTTTTGTTTGTGGTTGACAGCCATGTTCATAATGTGGTTCGAATGCTAAGCACCCTGAAAGGCATTGAGACCAAACGTCATACCTCCAGAGGTCGTGTGTGGATCAATTTCTAATTATCTCTGGACATTCAGTTAAATCGCAGGACATCGCTTTATAGGTACACGGTTGCTGAATATGTTAGATTTGGCGGTACTACTGGATTCTTAAGCACTTCTATATCTCTACCTCCTAACCGGTACGGAGATGTTCAGGAGGCCTGTGTGAAATGTTTCTGATTTCCTTCGGCGTGCAGACTTCAACCCAGACTCCACTCGATGAGTGAAACTTTTATCTGAGAATTGGATGCCCCGGGAGCCCGTCACACTGCTAACCAGCCACTCGTGTCCGAACGGTTAAGTGTTCAAACTACTAGCCTCGAGGTCGCAGGTTCGAGACTTCCCGGACTTCCGTGAGATTCACTCATCTGATGATTCCCAATAAGGATGAAGCAGCTGTACTGTGCTTCTTGGCCTTCCAGCGAAGATTGGGTCACTTACAGAACGAAATCTCCACCAACATTTCATCAACGTTTGCTCGCGTCATGACCTCAGTGCAGCGTTTTTAGGGATGTCGACACGGTTACACTTGCCACCATTTGTAACTGATTCCGTTTTCCCGTAAAAAGGGTCTGTCGACCTTGGATGCCGATAAGATAGATGTGTTCCAGATAAGCCTGCTTACTTCATGTCCCCTCGAGGAATGCGTGGGAGAAAAGCCCACTGTCACATGGAATTTTGTCCCACGGATTCCGTTTATCCGAGCTTCAACACCGAGGCGTGCGCGTGTGACATGAAGAATATCAACGACGACAGAAATACAGGGCATTGTACGACACCAAATCAAAGTAACCGCTAAAACCAGCTGACAAACTGGTCATATCAATCAATTGATTGCGAACGAAACTCTCCTAGATTAGTGTGTTCGTGGCGTGCAAACTTACATGCACATCCACTTGTAATCAGGAGTAAACAACCAAACCGTCGAAAAGTGGTGAGCAAAGTTTTAGAGGGGTATCTGCTAGAATAAATGAAGAGTTAGTAGAATTATCTCTCCAGTTGTCGAAACTAGTCGTATGAGACAATTGTTCAAAATCCGCAGACAGCCAATTACCACTTCCGTCCTTTCTGGAGTTAATCAAATAGGCGTAGTACAACGAGGGTGAGATAATCAACCCTCGACTTAAACAGTTATTCGGTCGGAACCGGTGATGGGCTGTTAGAAGAGTTTAAGCACACGCCCTATACTACTTGATTCGAAGTCAAAAGAAAATTCACAACGGAGCTTCGATACGGCTTGTGTACTGCACGCTATGTGAAAGAATATCAATGTGCTACTGACCACGACGGAGTCCACCGAATCTCCAGCTTCAGCGATTTCATCGTGCATATGAGCTTCATCGTAAGAAAAATTTATCCAATTGTTTGATGGATTAAGGCTCTAACAAGCATACGTTCCAAGGAGCTAAAGGAGAGGATTGATTTGAACAATGAGGTACAGACTCCATTAGATTTTTACCTCTTTAGATGATCGACTGGGACGTGAAGTACGAATATGTCCATCCGAAAAATCTTTGGGCAACTTGTGTCTTCTTACACTGTGCATGTCTGTGCGAGTCGAAAAGCCACATATCAACTAACCAAACTTTCCCAACAACCATTTATGCTGATACAACTGGAAAACACAGCTATAAAATTCTTCCTGGTACCCACAGTGAGTTTGCCAGAGAATCTCTCGTTGATAAAACCGCATCAACACTGATATAAAGTGCGAACTTGATATCACCAAAACTGGCTCAAAGTTCCTCATTCACAACAAAATGCAGGCTCTTGGAGGAGATTTACAAGGAATATACATCACATCATGACAATGTGGAAATAGAATCAACAAGACCTGGTAGATGTGGGGAGGGCGCGTAGTAAGGAAGTACGCCTGATCCTCATCACATACAACGTAAATTATTGGTCAACTGAATAGAGAAGCAACAAGGAATGAAAAGTGCATACCACGATAAAATAGTACAGAGTAGGGTCACTTTTGTATGAGTCCAATAATCCTCGACCACATAAGTCACGGGGATTGATGATACTGATCAAGATACCACATTCATAAATTCATTCATTCATTCATAGGTCAATGTACGGACTAGAAACAGTAAGCTTCCTTTTTCTGTGCAAATCACTATTTGTGAAATGATCCCGGAAGCCTGTAAAAGTATGCACCAGTACAAAAAATAGTTGAAGAAAGTTATTTTTTCAATCACTTGAACGGCATAGCCGGTAGAGTCAAGTTCAGTATTCCGGTGGGGCACTAGGGACAACCGTCTTGGGTGAACTATATGTACCCGTCTGATTCGTATCCTCCTGACAGTCTCCATTGAATCCGCTACCTTTGAATCCCAAGTTGGGACTGTGAAGCGGTTTGATACCTTGCATACGCATATAGGAAACGAGTTGGTCGGGTATTTCGGCCAAAACGGCCTTGGATAGACGGCGTTTGCTTTCTTTGACGGAATATGCATCGTGAAAGTCACGGAAGGGTACGAACTGTGAGAGGGGAATAAATTGATGGGTTGGTAGATGGGAAGTAGGCAGTTATACGCGTCCAATACGGATTCAAATAAAGGGCGCACACATGCAATGTGAAGCAGTGCCTAAACCTATTATTAAATCAGAACACAGTTATAGAAGACCTCATCAATCGACCAGATCAGGGACCTTGACGAAATAGTTGTGTTTGCGCGCTTGTACGGTCATCAACTGAAAATTCTGGTGGCCTTAGAACTACCCCAGTCAAGATCACATCGGGTTCAAACGGCTCCCAGTTCAACTCATCGCAAACCGCTTGTGGCGGCGCCCATCTTATGTGGGGGTCCATTTTCATGACAAAGAAATCCGGAAATTAATGCCAATAAACCGCCTCTACAATGCCTCCTCTGAAAAAATTCCCAAATAAGGGGTATGACACTTACCAAAGAAGCCGACTTTTACCGGAAGTCAGCTAGTCACAAAACTGATAGACTACAAGGCTTCTAAGCTGTAGGGCGGCATTAGGAATAGCTATAACTGAATACAGCCCGACTATAGAGTGGTGCAGTAGCATAATTCAAACAAAATAACGGATTTAAAAGATCGTCGTTACCATCGTGGATACTGATCAAGTGGCCATAGCACAGTGCCCACTGAGGTCTTTTGCTGTTGAACACCAGCAGAGTTTCGTAGACGACGTTGCAGTAAGCGTTGCTAGGATAGGTTTCAAGTTTTCAAGAGGAAACCTTGAGTCCCGCACAGGCTAGACTAACCTGGTTGTCATCAGGAAGGGTTGGATTTAAAAATTCGCAAGCGTAAAGCTAACGCACAACCTGTTTTCCACGTTCGGGGAGTCAGCATATACTCCTCCCAGTCTGCCGATTGATGAACACGACGCACCATCAAAGTCCGCATAGCAGATAACAGGAAAAGGAATGCCACTGCGGCAGCGGAGATGCCGGAGAGAGAGAGATCCGCCGCACCGGAGATAGTACTGCGGCAGGATGCCGGAGAGAGAGAGATCCGCCGCACCGGAGATAGTTTTCTGTTTAGTGATGCGGATAACCAGGTGTCATGGTAGACAGGTTAGAACAAGCCGAAGAGATGGAAGGCAAACAAGAAGGTTCACACGCGCACACAAGCACACCAGTGTCCGACGAGCGTTGCAAGGTTAACGACAGATAGGCAAAAACAAGTAGCAATCGTATAGCGTGAGGACAGAATAGGCGAATCAGTGGGAGGAATTAGCAATTCGTCAAGCCAGATGCAACACACTACCGCCAATGTTGCTAAAGCTTGGTTGGGACGGAGATTTGCCCAGCGCTACAGGACAGTCACAGAAGTGAGAAATAATTGGCTAAATTAAAGCGCACAGGCTAACAGAAGCCTTCAGCATTTTTGAAAGAACGAAAACTTTAGAGAAAAAGGGGTTTCCACCAAAGTGAAATGCGCTGCAGATGTAAATATGAACTGATTATGAAGTGTGCTTTATTTTTGTCCAAAAAATTTCCCTGAAATATGTCGGAGCAAAAATGGTTGAATTAAGCGCACAGAACATACATCATGCCAAAACATTGACAACTTGGCGAGGTTATTAATGGATTTCTGACCCGGTCATTTACAAGTAACATGGAAACTATGAGCGCTCACCACTCATCACTAAAACGGAACAGCAGTTTAGACAGATAGACACTTTTGTTTTGTGCTAAATGCAAACGTGTGTGAACTGAATTTAGTCGTCCATTTGAGTGCACATACGGAAGCACAAGGGTAGCGATTTCGCAAAGTAGAGAGCAGTCACGTGCTCTCGGATTACCAGGCTGGACACAAACAAGGTCATAACTGTAGATGTCAAGCTACCTAATTTCCGGACACAACCGAATGCGTGCATGTTATGTGAATGCAACCCGCTCAACTAGTGACTTTCACAGTGTTAGTTGTGGAAAGTAGATGATATTTAGGTAGCATCATAGCTTCTATAGTGAAGCTGAACTAAGCTGAGCAGAAATTGTGTAACTAAACAAAGTAGTTAACTACTCAAAGATATGTACGAAAACATTCGAAAATCCGCATAACAAGCGTTCTGTACCTTTTTCGATCTTGGATTGCGAGTTATCGACTATCAAGTACGATTCTGGACAGTCAACACCAAACACTAGTTGAATCAATATTGATGTAGACCCAGAATATTGGCATAGGAAGGTAGAGATCAAGATAACTCATCGAATTTACTGATCGGAGGGTCCGTGGTTCCAGCCTCGAAACATGAATCTTGACTGCTTGGCTTAAGCAACCTGAGAGTATCTTGGCCCTTGTGCTTTCTTTGGGTGGCATGGCAGCTAGGCAGTAAAGGGATGCTACGGCTAAACGATTTTTATAGGAAGACAGGCTGATCAGAAAATATAGATCTGCGCCGATTCTGGATTCAAACTAATGACTGACAGGACACCAGCATGTTGATCAGTTGACGGTAAACCGATATTGCTGTTTGAGTTCTGCTGACACAAGATTCGTGCTTGCAACGTCGTGGACACTCAAGTCTGTCGGTATGGACTTCAAGTATGTTGATGTTGGACGTGTTCAAATAGAATCAACTTGTCATAAATCCAGACGCTGGAGACGTGATGAGAAGCTAGTCAAAAAGTTGGATATTAGAATGAAAGAACGCACGATAAACCCAACCAGCAATGCTGTTGAGCCTACAAGGCGGAGCATAACCGTTTGCTGGACAGAAAGCAGGTAGTCGGTATTGCGTTCTAGCAGGAGAAATTAACCGAATTTCCTCTTTAGCCTCCAATTGCACGCAGTGCGCCTCACGTTTCAGTTGGAGTGACATTTAGACACTAAGGAACGGTAGTAGGTAGAGACGGGTCTTTTCACCGTGAGCAAAAGCCAGAATAGGAAGCAATGCTCTTAAAGTGCGAAGTCAGATGCTGCTTCAAGCTCCAGATAGCCACTCAGAAACTCAGAAACGCCCGGAGGTACAACTGCGAATTGGGATTACGGTTACTTGATTTTCAACCTTTGTTCTTCCATAGAGTATTCCTCCTATCTAATGAGTCCATCTGCAACGACTACTGCTCTGTTATGGCTATGTGACTGCATGCAGCCTGGCTACACACAAAAATACAGTCCAATTTCCTTTAGAAATGGTTTTATAGAGGGAGTACAGTACGACCAAGGTCATAATTGCCTGAACAGTCGACTGATCTGCCCATTAATGTTCAAACCTCCACCTGACAGTTATTTCAGATGTCTGGTATTCGTCTAAGACGCATCCCGGTGATAGAGTAATTATGAAGTCAAATTTTGTAACCTGTACCAAGACAAACAGCGTAATAAGCGAGCCATCGTTGATCAAAGCCAAAATAGTTTGATGTACCGTGTGCTGGTGATTTGATGTGCTACTATTTTGGATTGTCACTGTGGTTCGGTAGGACGTTTAACTGGCCAGACGACTGCATTGAGAGTGGGTTGTGCAAACCAAGAGACAAATGGACCACGAAAATGATTTTGTGGAAGCCGGGTCTGGTTATTTCGTGAATTCACGATTGCGTAAACACGCAGTAGCCTAAAAAGGAGCATAGCAGAACCACTGATTGTGAAAAAAAACGGAGTGTGGATGTGGAAGGCCTGGATGAAGCAACTGGTTCCAATAGGATTCGCTCCAAGAAAAAGAATGGCCAGTGTCGGATGTTTAAAATTAAACCCACAACAGCTGCGATTGAGCGGGTATGGGAGGTAGGCATGTCTTTCCTTGTACAGGAGATACTGCATTGCAGCTGTCTCTCGAAATAGATGCACCAACACGACAGTGAACTTTTCACCCGTTCTGTAAGATTCACCTAGTCTGGAGCACAAACAACTATCTCACCAGGAGTGTTTTGCGATGCTTCCAATCAAAGACAGGCGGGGTCACGCAGACCAAGTTCCGCAACCACGGCTCCCAGATCCTCCATAATCGTCTTCATGTACATACCAAGTTACAGCTAGTCGACAAAGTTATTGTATCCAATTTAAGCGGGGTGACTGTGACTAATGCTGCCGTGCTGAACCATTTGACGAACCCCTGTGTCTGTGCCATTCGGATATTCTATGATCAACCTCTTAATCACCAACGAAATTTCAGTACGTAGGGCCTTAAAACACGTCTATGAATTGAGCTTATATGATGCTTGTGACAATAAGGGAACAGAAGAGTTGTCATTTCTACTACAGAGTTGTGTCCGAAAATTTCATCCGGGCTTTCTACTTACCTGAACAATGTCCCGGACTGCAGCTCGACCTCGTGAAGTTAACCGAATTTCATCGCCATCTAGCTCTTCCATTTCATCAAAGTTGGCAGGGCCTACACCAACGATGATAATGCTAAGAGGGAGTGAAGAGGCCTTTGGAGAAAAAGAAAGGAAAGCGAAAATGTGGATGGAATGGGTAGTAGAGAATGAAAACACTGATTTGGGAAACAGTTATCTGCCAACGGGTTCAGAAACAACGCAGTTCAGTCTCTCAATTGCAAACCATGTGGGTAGGATTGTGGTTGTCGCACCCGACAACCGTGTCAGTGTGGCTGACGATGACCAAATACAGTGGACAAAGAAAATCGACAAACTACAGAAAAATGAGACGGATGAGTACACGCTAAACAAAAAGAGTACGTCAGCGGTAACATGACCGCACAACAATCAGGTATGTATGAGGGAAACTACGGTAACGAATACGGTTGAAAAAAACGAGTTAAGATGGAAGATTGTTGTGACCGTAGGATAATGAAGGTATATTAATCATAAACGTACAGATAATTGGGGCACGGAAACGGATACATGTAACAGGGGTGACGAAAGCTCTTGTGCACGAATTGTCTAGTGCTAGGCCTCGAGTTGCCCTGGTAACGATATGTGACAAATGCATCAAAGCGGCTATTGAGGCTATAAGTTTATGGTTTGTGGTCCGTGTGTCATCTGCTTACATACGTGCGACTGTTCAAGGTTACAGGTAGATTTGCATTGACATACAACCTTCAATTTTCGTTGTATTCCCAGTGGGAACAATACTATCAGGCCTCAACGGATTTCAGCTAAGCATATCAAATCCGGTTCCAATGCTCCTTACCTGCCTATCCATTGAGGGTCATGTGGTTGAAATAGTGGTCAATTGGCTTGGTTTACAAGACTGGACGAAACCAGTGCAATATAGAGGCAACGGGGATGCTGAGAAGGGGACTCGGTGAAACTTAAAAATCGGAAACACTGAAGAATAGAATCTCTAACTTTCTATTGTTGTGATATGGACAGGCGTTTTCTGGACCCAGCAAACATCTGTTTTCTAACACAGTACTTCTTTTCCATTATGAACTCAACAGAAAAAAGCGACGAACCTGGTCACACCAAAAAGGTAACAAAGATAAGAATGACTGGATACCTGTAATAGATTAGTTCTGGTGAATAACAGACAAAGCACCCGAAAGAGATGGTAAGGTGTTCTTCACCATAAGTGATGAGTGGGATCAGAGTTTATCAAGCATAAAACAGTCTGTTAGGTGCAACCGATCAGCTTTGAGTGGACCAGTATGCTGCTCACCGCTGCTACACACCGCTGACGTGCTTTATCAAGTGCATACAATCGACGAATATAGGCGGAATGGAAGAAATAGTGGTCGTTGCAGTCCCAACAAATCTTCCCGATTATGAGATGTATCAAAATGTATTACCACGTGTGCAACCATTGATACCAAACGAAGGCTAGTCGATCCAACCAAATCAATTTAGGTAGAGTTTGAGAGAACCCATAGGATAGGAAGTGTAAAGTTAGGTAATCAGGCAGAATAATTCTTCCGCAGAGAACTTAAATCCGAATGGATTGCACAACAAGAGATAATCTAACGTTTGGGAAAAATGGGTTACGGGTTGCCATCTCTATCCCAACCGAGTAAGTTGAAACGTTTACAGAGTGGTGTTGCGCAACCGATTTGCTACCATCTCAACTATAGTTTCATTATGCCCGATTGCTCGGGCAATCGAGTTCAGGGTACCAGACCAAACTTCCGAGCCCCATATAGGCATCCAGGGTCTCAGTAATGCTGGAAAATTATTCCACCAGACACATAAGCAACAAAATTCAACATTTTGACGCAGAAAGATTTATTCCACTCATAAAGATTTTGCAGCTAAAAGCATTGTGCGGCTAATGCCCCCCCACCCGCGTCCCTCGTCAGTACAGCAACACATTGAAGGTCGTGCCTCGACTGGCAATGAGATGGTTGTAATCAAATTGCTCTGCTTGGCGGACAAATCGATCTTAATTATCAGCGTTATTCTCAATAGTACGTTGAAAACTTTGGCTAATTAGCTCGGAGTCAAACAAACAAGCCCACAAACTCACGTTCACGATTGCTGCTCTGGTTTGCGGCAAATCTGAAATAATTCCGTCTGTCAAAATGAGCAGAATGGAGTATTGTGTTCCCGGTTCAGCCTGGCGAGCGATGCTGGCAGAAGAAAGAAAGACAAAAAAAGTATATGGAACCGAAGTGTAAATGACCGATTGGCGAAAAGGCAGGGAATTTGACCGAGTGGATGGAGGGAAAAAGAGACGAGCCACAGAGAGCTCGGAATCTGTTTGATTGGTTGTACAGTAACATCAAGGTTGTCATACCTCATGTAAAGAAACGGTTATCGCCGCCTCTCTGATATGACTAGGCTATGAACTCACCTGGCGACCGTGTTGATGATTGGTGCAAAGTTTGTTGGGCCATGAAACTTCACGGTTCTCAGGGAGTGAGCATACGCTGCCATGGCGCCCTGAATCCCTTCACAGTATGGGTTATCAATGTGACCGTTCTAAAAGTGAAAAAGGGAAAAAAGAACTTCGGGTAGACGGAATATCTTGCAAGTATTTTACTGTGACTTGCCACATTGCACTTGTTTGGAAAGGTACGATCTGTTGGACATCATTTTGGCAGGAAAGGAGAGATGCTGAAAACTCAGATATCGTCCTCCAGAGAACCAACTTTTGACCATTCTTTTATGACTGTTCCTTCTTAAGAAGATGGTGGTGCAAATCTAGTTCCATTCCGAAAAGCTCGGATGTAATCCACGTTATTTTAGCAGTAATGGGAAGTATTACAAGTGTCTTTCTCGGAAATTCTGAACAATAACTCTCAGCTATGAGGTGGGGCTTTTAAGCAATAATCAAATCTCGGCCAACCTCGCAACATAGTCCGTGGCCTCACGATACTTTTTTGTCAAAAGCGAAATGTTGACCAGCATTATTCTATCGATGGTATTCCAAACTCTTCCGGAAACTAATCAAATGCACTTTCCGAGTAAAATTGAGCAATTTTCTGAAAGCCCGAGAAGTACCGTGTGGCTAATTCAAAATGACTGATTGGGCATGCGAATTTGAAGCCTCTTGCAGAGAACCCGAAGAATACGTGACGGAGGTTGGTTGGAATGTGCATTAAACAGGGTGTATTCACGAGACCTCGAGTGAATGCTTTTCAGGGTAAGTAGGGAGATGTGAACGTGTTGAGATCGCTTTAAGTGAACTAAATCTGCGCCAAAAAACTACTAATATGGCAAGACTGTTTCGTTCCTGATGTATCTTATTGAGTGAAACATAGTATTCAGCCTTGTTATTGAAGGTTCCCATAAAGGAATGTCACAGGTGATTTAACAATTCATCAGAACTATCTCACTAGCAAGCACGTGAGGAAATCGGGTTATAATGATGCACTTTGCCTAAGCCAAAGGGACTGTACAGCCGCTTAGGTTTCAGTAGGAAGTATTGGAATAAATCTCCTGAGAAAGTAAGACTCGCGCCCTTCCGAGTAGTGATCCAAATGCGGGTCATCAGTCATATGAACCCCGAAACGACTATCAACTTCGCAGTTCAGGTCAGATGATCTCGTGATGCTTAGCCCTTCGTGCAATGATTTTTCGGTGCAAAGGCCCATGCAATGTTAGCATCGAATAATTGAAGGGGTACCTGGAGCCACAAAACTGCCTTCTTGGAATGACCAAAATCCATTTACATTAATCGGTTGTTACCTTGAAGGCCCAATTAGCAATGGAAATACACGCAACTGAACTCGAAGGGGCAAGTTCAAACATCACCTCATCAAAGCAATGGTAAAGAAGGGTGACTTTGTTGTAACATTTGGATATTCCGTATTTATAACACGATACGTCAGTTTATCTGAGGTTGGTTTAGTATGAAAAAAACACCCAATAGTTACAATGTCCAGTGATTTCACACCATTCGGTTGAATCACTTCCACTGAATGTTTCAGTAGTCAAATTACGCTCGAAAAATCACTCGACCGTTCCATGGGAGCCAGATACTCTGAAACATTCATATGTTGTCGATCCACAAAACGATTTTGTACTGAAGGACTTTTGAATGCTCTTTTGGTTACATCAGGGAAAGATGTCACCACGCCAACTTCACAGAGGTGCCAGATAGCCCGAGAAGTACCGTGTGGCTAATTCAAAATGACTGATTGGGCATGCGAATTTGAAGCCTCTTGCAGAGAACCCGAAGAATACGTGACGGAGGTTGGTTGGAATGTGCATTAAACAGGGTGTATTCACGAGACCTCGAGTGAATGCTTTTCAGGGTAAGTAGGGAGATGTGAACGTGTTGAGATCGCTTTAAGTGAACTAAATCTGCGCCAAAAAACTACTAATATGGCAAGACTGTTTCGTTCCTGATGTATCTTATTGAGTGAAACATAGTATTCAGCCTTGTTATTGAAGGTTCCCATAAAGGAATGTCACAGGTGATTTAACAATTCATCAGAACTATCTCACTAGCAAGCACGTGAGGAAATCGGGTTATAATGATGCACTTTGCCTAAGCCAAAGGGACTGTACAGCCGCTTAGGTTTCAGTAGGAAGTATTGGAATAAATCTCCTGAGAAAGTAAGACTCGCGCCCTTCCGAGTAGTGATCCAAATGCGGGTCATCAGTCATATGAACCCCGAAACGACTATCAACTTCGCAGTTCAGGTCAGATGATCTCGTGATGCTTAGCCCTTCGTGCAATGATTTTTCGGTGCAAAGGCCCATGCAATGTTAGCATCGAATAATTGAAGGGGTACCTGGAGCCACAAAACTGCCTTCTTGGAATGACCAAAATCCATTTACATTAATCGGTTGTTACCTTGAAGGCCCAATTAGCAATGGAAATAAACGCAACTGAACTCGAAGGGGCAAGTTCAAACATCACCTCATCAAAGCAATGGTAAAGAAGGGTGACTTTGTTGTAACATTTGGATATTCCGTATTTATAACACGATACGTCAGTTTATCTGAGGTTGGTTTAGTATGAAAAAAACACCCAATAGTTACAATGTCCAGTGATTTCACACCATTCGGTTGAATCACTTCCACTGAATGTTTCAGTAGTCAAATTACGCTCAAAAAATTATTCGACCGTTCCATGGGAGCCAGATACTCTGAAACATTCATATGTTGTCGATCCACAAAACGATTTTGTACTGAAGGACTTTTGAATGCTCTTTTGGTTACATCAGGGAAAGATGTCACCACGCCAACTTCGTTCGTGTTCACGATGTAACTGCCGTCAGGTGGGTCGTGCCCTTCGTCCATTTAATTGCATTGGCATCGTGCACATGAGACAGTTATTCGCCCTCCAAGCATACACATGCAACAAGTGTCATCGTTCAGCTGTAACAAGCTTTCGGTGCCTAACTGTCATGTCACCAGAGAAAAGCGCGAGTGTTGGGATACTACCAGGTTGCCCAAGCTTAGACGGGGCAGGTCAAGAGGCAGATGTCGGATTCGAACCACGACCTTCCGGTCAGTAAACTCATCATCTAACCACTGAGGCATCTCGCCCACCAAAACTAATATACTATCACCATTGGATTTAGACAGGGTGACAAACCTCACAATCTTGTCATTCATTAGTTAAGAAAATTTGTCAGCTAAAACCATCACAAATTGACGATGAGGATGATTTGAATCACTGTGGCGATATGCTAATGTCAAGATGCAATACTAAGTTCAATATTTGCCCACCCAAATATGGCCACAATGAGCAAATTCCACCGCCAAAAATACTCACGCAATATTGTGTGATTACCCGACAAATGATGCCTTTATTAGTGCCGAATATAGTGACCTCAGTTCTTCCACCATCTGCAAACAGGTTCATCAATCAAAGCGGAATCAAAGAGAGCTAAAGAAACTGCTGAATTGTATGTCATTATGACAACCAAAAAAGGAGTAATTCAATTTCAGGTGAGAATAAAGGTCTTAGAGGATCATTCGTTAACTCAAAGCATGTCACAGCCTTACTTGTACAAACATGTTCACTATTTCGGGACAGGAAGAAACGAAGTTCTGGCAAAATTAATATGGCTTTTGAGAGGAAAAGCAAGTTTCCAGATCTTGTGTTAAATGACGTAGATGTTGCGGTCGAGTGAGTGGATTTAATTAGAAACTCGCTTGCGGATAAGCGAGTAAATGAAACGCGTGAAAAAAACAGGGCACCAAGCGGAAATCAGCGTTTTTGGTGATAGATGACACAAAATTAAATCGATTGGAACAATTTCAATGTGTTTTTCACTCAGTAAGCTATTGTTGCACTACGTAACTGGGACGGACAATTTGCACGAAGGATAATCATAGGGAGAATCCAGTTTAGAAGGATGCAGTCAAGTGAAACAGATATCGGTAACTTATCCAATCACTGATATGCGTTGTAACCAGTATCCCCAAATCAATAAAGTATCGACGGATGCCAATTAAGGACTCGAGGGACAGGAATAGCTCTTCCGCATTTCGATAACAGGCGGTAACATAAACCATTAAAAAGTATTTGGATATGCAGGATTGATGGTTGCTAGGCTGCTTGTAATAGTGTGTGGCATCTAGTGAAAACAGAAGGCATTTATTTCGAAAATGACTGTCCAAAAACGTACTAGCTATGAACGAGATAGTCCATATGTTTGTCATAACTTACTAACTTTGCAAGAATTTTGAATCGTACTCTAACAAAAAATCCGACCCACTATAATAAATAAAATCGGGAGCACAGGTTTTGGTTTGACAAGCATATTACGAACAGACTGATAGGCTTAGTTTCAACTGCAAGCGGAGACATGCACGCACAAGTCTTTTCCAACGAGGAACAAAATCAGAAGAGTAAGGAGGGCACCAGACATACAGGGCACCCGATAAGGTTAGCATGGCGACGTAAACAGTCAAAACAGAAGAGATTCATATCTGACGCGAAGATAGGAGACTAATCCATACGAACAACCAAGAGAGAAAATGTAGCAGGTGCTTATTCTTGGTTAACTCCTTCGTTTCGTCCGCAGTTCCGCTCTACTGGCGACAAGGGAAGCGGACAGTTGACCGAAAGTCTACCTTCATCTGTCTGCTACAATAATGGAAAAATAGAAGTGGCCTGCAAAACAAATATCGATCTTGAATAAAGAGGTGGCAATATACACCGACCATTCACTTACGGTTAGAAAACAAACGCATCAAAAAGCAGTCAATTTTTTTCATTACCTAGTACATGACATCCGGTTTAGATCATGGAGGACCTGATAATCAACCGAGTGGTAAGGCATAAAAATTGTTGAGACTCAATGGCGTAAAACAAGCGAGCCACTCGACAGAAACTCGATCTCTCCATTGCAGTCTAGAGCATGCTGACGAATATAACCTCATAGGATCGGCCTTATGAATCACTCACCTAGTTACTAGCCTGTCTACCAGACCTACACAACTGTCCCACTTACTAACCAGTATCTTCCTGATATACTGTCATCCTGAGGATGACATTGCCCCAGGGTTAGTAGAAC